CCCCAAAACCCCAAAACCCCAAAACCCCAAAACCCCAAAACCCCAAAACCCCAAAACCCCAAAATTACTCTTTATTTTGAAATAATTTAACGATTTTGATTAAAATGACCGACTTCGAAGTCTCACCTGAAAATTATGGAGAGAACCCAGCTCTGGTTACCACTGAGTAAGTATTCACAGTAAACATTTTTGCAGGTCTTATGAACAATTGGAAAACCAAGCTATTACTAAATAACACCAATTTTCATGAAGGATTTGCACAAGAAGATAACTATAAGTTCAACATGATGGAAAATGATGCTGGTATTGTTCGAGACAGTTCAGATTCATTTCAAGTAAATCAGGAAGAATCTGAATCAGTTCAAGATTTTAACCAACAGCATCAGCCTTTAGAGTATCAACAACATTATCTTGATAATCATAATATGATAGAAAACTCTCCCGGGAGTCAGAGATCTAAAAGCGGAGAAAGAAGGACTAGACAGGATCGACAGAAAAGCCCAGGCTCTTCACCTATGCATAGCCCTGATCAAATGAATCCTCTTGACCATGTCCAGAACTATCATTTTCAAGAGGGAAGATATAACGAGAGTAATCTTGACAGCACAGACAAAAATATTATCGAATTGACTCCTTCAAAAGATGGGATGAACTTAGAATCCGCTCAAAAATACGACAGTGAGTATAAGCAACCAGAAGATTATCAGCAAAGAGATTATGTAGAGAATTTCCAAGATCATCCAGAAAGCATGTCCTTTGCTAACAAGAATTCTCAAGAGATTGGACTTCCTCATCAATATCTTACAAGAAGTGGAGGGAAGAATAGCAAGGCTGACCAAGACCCTGAAATGCCTAAATCTCCAGACTGCGTAGAAGAATCTAAGGAAAAGCACATCCAATATTATTCCTTCTCTCAAGGCAGGAAGAATGCTGAGAAGAAGAACAGTTCTCTAGAATACCCTTCTTTCGGAAGGAAGACGGACCACAGTAAGCAGAATACCCACAATAGCAGTAGGTTTAGCAAGGGATCTGCAGTGCAAGCAGAGAATGAGGAATCAGTTAGTCTAGACCAGTATTATAACTTTATTATTTCAAAGTCTCCAACCCTTACTGAGAGAGAAAAGAAGAACGCTCAGGATCTAATTGACCAATTACAGTACTTTCAGGAAACCAATAGTCCAGCATCATTAGAATTTGTTGCACAGTTTAACAATTTTTGAGAGAAAGTGCAAAAGCCCAAAACAGCTTCTGTACGTAAAAGAGTCCCAAAAAGTAGCAGAAAGAAGGAAGTCAAAGTAATTGAACAGTCTGAGTTTATGAACATTATCCAAGAAACTCCAGACTTGTTGGAAGAGTACGAAGAACTGGTGGAGGAATATGAAGATTGAAGACTAGAAATTAAGGCAAAAGTCTTAATGAAATTCAAATCTATGTCCTCTCCAACTAAACTAGATACTAATATAGGGGTTGTCTTGTTGTATTTCATGTACCAGATTGATAATAACATCCCTTTGAGAACAGATAAAAGACAACTTGCAGATAAAAGCTGGAATTACATCAAAGAATACTTCAGCAATAGTGGGAGGATAATCCAGAATTTCAAGAAAATATTACCCTATCTCGAGAACAAGAAGATATCAGAGAGTCATTTCTTTGAAATCAAGAGATGAATGGAGAATCTTGATCCAACACAAATTGAGGCTCTTCACAATAAGAATGGAATAACAGGGTTAATCTATAACTACTCCATGGCTTGTTTCAACATCGTAAAATTTTTAAGATCAGTATACAAAACAGATGACGAACCAAAAGTTCGAGTTGCACCAGCTCCAAGGAAGAAAAGGCCAGATACAGCAACTATGGATTCTGCCAGGAAGCCCAAAATGGCTTCTGCGCAGGGAAAAGATCTATGTGTTAACCAAATAGTTGCTTCTAAAAAGAATAATTTTAAGCTAAAACTGCATTCACAGATGTATAATGAAAATCTTCAGAAAGGATTTAATAACCTGAAGAAGGAGAACCAGATCAAAGACACTGAGAAGAGAATCAAAGAATTGAAAAGACTGAAGTCTCAAATGCAATGGAAAGAGAAACGAGTTACTAAACTCCGCAAGCGTAGGTGTTCCATATCTAATCCTTCTAGAGAAAAAAGACAAAAGTGATGCTGCAGAGTACCTTGCTTACAAAGAAGACTTGAGAAAAATGAGTTTGAGTATTATTGAAGAGAAGATTAGGGAAGACAAGAATTACAAGATTGAACGTGACCAAGAGAAAATCCAAGATATCAAAGCAGAAAAGATGAGAAAGGAAATCAAAGCTAAACTTCTCCAACTCGATGAGTTCAAGAAGACTATTGAAGAGAAGGAATGGAAGGATCTTCAAGAATCTGAGAAAAAGAAAGAACTTAAAGCCCGAATGATAGAAGAGTTCACTCAGAAACTTGAGGAGGAGAAGGTCTTCAAACAACTTCTTTATGCAGCAGAGAAGAAAATTGAACATGAGGAAAGAATTCGAAGAAGAGAGGAGAACCTCAAACATAAGCACAATACTCTCCTTGATGAAGAAATGGAGCTTGCTAAAGAGCTAGAGATGCTACAAGAAATGTATGATGATTCTATATAATTTGATGATAATGGGGTTTTGGGGTTTTGGGGTTTTGGGGTTTTGGGG